TCTGACCTACACGCTCCTATGGTGCGACCCAGTGACTACAGGGCATTTGTGCGTAATGGCTAATTTGTAAGCCATGTGCGAAAAAAAAAAAAAAAGGCAGAATAGGAATAGGGGGACTTCACTGAATATGTTAGTGATGGATGTCACCTGTGTGAAAGGGGTCCTTCTGCAGTGTCATACAAAACCACCACAGCAAGCTGTACTAAGAATATCTTCTCTCCGGTACCCGAGACTTCCTGGTATTCAGGAAACTGTGTGTTTGGTGTCAGTGTCTAGCATTGCTGCACCGCGTTAGCCGCAGTGTTTGCTTTAAAGGTGAGACTTGAATGTGATCTTGTTGTGGATGGGAGTGCAAAGCTTTGTTTGATACCTGGCCTTGTTCTTTTGCCTGTATTGTGTGTTTGAGAGTTTCCTGTGGGGATGAGAGGGGAGGTTGTAAGATGTGTGTGTTCCTAAACAGGGTCTGTATTAATGCAGTCTGCATCTACTAGACTACTGCAGGCTCGGGGAATAAAGTACCTAAAACACAAGCTTGCCTGTGTCTGGCTTAGTTTCTGTCCTTATTTCAGTGGAGTGGGCAATGTTTACATGGTATGAAAGGACCAGGTGTGGGATAGCACCTGGTACTACACTGGCCAGATCTTGGTCTTATTGATTGGTTTGTCTAAATTTCTTTTGGAGTCGGGAGCGGACTGGCCAAGTTCATCGATGACACCAAACTTTGGGGCAAAGTATCCACACCAGAAGACAGGTGGGCTATCCAGGATGACCTGGACAGGCTCAGCAAATGGGCAGATGAACCTGATGGTGTTTAACACTGAAAAATGCAAGGTTCTCCACCTTTTGGGAATTAAAACCTGCAGCATCCTTATAGGCTCAGCAGTGCTACGCTAGCTAGCACTACGGAAGAAAGACTTGGGGGTCATGATTGACCACAAAATGAACATGAGCCTGCAATGCAATGCTGCGGCTAGTAAAGCGACCAAAACGCTGGCTTGCGTCCATAAATACTTTTCAAGCAAATCCCGGGACGTCAT